TTTAGTTATTGTTTTAATGTGTGTGTGTGTGTGTGTGTGTGTGTGTGTGTACGTGTGTGTGTGCGTGCATAGATACACACACACACACACACACATAAAGACTTATCTTCCTATAGCGTCTTTTGTTCTAGTGACGGTAGAACTAACACGTTCCTTGGTTTTTCATGTTTCTAAGTTTAACGCAGCTTCATTCAGCTTGTCTGCTTGTTCGTGGTTTTTAATCTGGGATTTTTAGTTCTTCTGAGTGTAATGTTTGGGTTTGATTGTGCTGAAAGTAGGTCACATGAAAGCCGAGCGCAGACATTGTGTTCTCTGTCAGAAATGCTGTGGCCTGTAAGACGTGAGTCAGATGCTGAGAGCGAGATCTTTAACCAATCTTTAGTCCTCTGATGTGAGGAGAAACTCCATTTACACCCCAATTCACCCTCTTTTCTCCAAACTAATTTGGTTTTTAATTAAAGCAGAACATGGAAAATGGGTCCCTCAAAGTGTATTGCATACAACACAGTATGTACTAAAATCTGAAGCCTATTTTTTATGTATGTGAAACCGTATGCATTATACAATGCATTGCACACTAATATTCTGTGCTTGTAGAAGAAGTGCATACTGTGCATATTGCATACTGCAGACAATAGTGTAGTAAATAAGAGTAGTATGCACATAGAGCCCTGAAATGGATCAATAGCTCAGTAATGTTGTTTCTCGTCTGTGATGTGCACTTTCACAGCTTTGATTGAAGCGTGTTTCTTTCCAGAGTGATTCTGCTGTTCAGCTGCAAGCGGCGTGATAGTTTTTTCATTTATCTGTCTTCAGAATAATTCTCTCATGCCTCAAGCCTCCTGCAGTTTGTTTTATTTCTTGATTGTTGGTTGGATCAGCACATCTATTTCACGCTCTCACATCTCGCTCTTTCAGAAGCAGAGTTTTCTTATTGCATTTGGGTTTTAGTGCAATGTAAAGTCATGTCGCAGCCTCATTTAAAGGCTTATGGAACATAATTTAATTTACAATAACTTGCTGTTTATTACATACAAGTCACATCAGGTTTGTGTTTTAAGGCAAGACACTACAGGTGAATAGGATAAAAAGTGCATATATTATATTATACATTGTTTAAAACTGTTATAATTGAAATGTTATGTTTAAATATGCACTCATTTGCATACACTTCTAGAACAGAAATCTGAACATTCGGTTTTTTTATTATTATTTAATTGACATATTAGATTTAAAGGTTTTTACTGAAGGGATTTGGGGTTTCTCTTATTATCCCTTCATAAATCAGAAAATATTGTCAACAGACAGAAAACAAATATATTTTTGCCATGTTCTTAGTAATAAAATGTTGTATAAACCCAGTTATATGAACAAACCCCTCAGTAAAAACCTTCAGAATATAGATATGAATAAAACTGTAAGTTCTGGTGTATGTAAGTGCTGCCAAAGTGGAGAAAAAACTCATTTTGAGAAAATGGCCTTTAAATATATGAAATCTAAACAAATTAATAAAGTGCAATAATAAAATCAAGCAAATTACATATGAACAAACCCTTCAGTTAAAGCCTTCAGAATATAGATATGAATAAAACTGTAAGTTTTGGTGTATGTAAGTGCTGCCAAAGTGGAGAAAAAAACTAATTTTGAGAAAAAATGCCTTTAAACGTGCATTGTAATTGAAATCTATAGATGTAAACAGATAAAGTGCAATAATAAAATCAAGCTAATTGAAACCCTTCAGTAAAAACCTTCAGAATATAGAGAGGAATAAAACTGTAAGTTTTGGAGTATGTAAGTGTTACTGAAATGGAGAAAAAACTCTTAAAAGATATGTACTGTAGATGAAATCTACAGATGAAATAGATGAGTGCAATAAAATAAACACTTAAAAGTGTACTTTGGTTGGTTTCTTTCCAATAGTCTGAGAGAAGACAAGTTATGAAAACCCAAATAGCTCAAAATTGATAAATGCATGAAAAAAAAACAATGTTTTTGCCTGTAGTGTCTTGCCTTTTACATTTTAAATGCATCACAAAAAAAAAAAATAATAATATTTTGTGTAACTTTGGTTTATTACAGCTACCTGTTGTTGTTGTTCTGCTATTATAGTCACCTTTTTTCAGCCCATTTATCATCAGATCGTCTGTAAACACCGCAGGTGTAATGAAGGTCACAGATGCAGCGGTGCATCTGTAATTGAACTGAGCTGAGAGTCACAGCGCACCGATCGTTTCATGTTCATTTTGATTCAACATCACCTAAAGTGCTGATATCTGAGTGCATGAGTTGTTTACTCTGTAATAAGGCCATCTGTATGGAACAGTTTGACCCATTCATGCCAATTTGTGGACTGGTGTTGATCATGATCCTCTTGCATGATTGTTTTTGCCTTATTGCACCATTTTCATCCGCACATTATGATCCCAGTGAGAAGTATTGCTTGTATTTGTAAATTAGTGTTTATGATTTTAGCAGTAAAGTTTCTCATGCTTTTAGTGGTTGAGCGTCTGCTCTAGTTGGATGATTTAGTGGCTCAGGTTTAGCGTTTCTTGTCATTGTTTTGCTCCATGAAACGTTCTTTACAGGTAGTTGCATTATATTTGTGTATTAGATGAAAGGATAATATTTGTACAATAAAGTTCAATTTGTTGACATTAGTTAACATGACCTAACAATGAAAATGCATTTATTAATCTTAATGTTAATTTCAACATTTACTAACACATTATTAACATCAAAAGTTGTATCTGTTAATGCTTTTTAATGGATCTGAGCTGACATGAACTAACAATGAGATTAAATGATGCAACAAATGTATTTCTCATTGTTGGTTAATGTTATGTAATGCATTAACTATCATTAACTAATAGGAACTTATTGTAAAATGTTACCGGTGAAAGTTCCCAGAATTACCAAATTTACGTTGCATATGGTTTTATCACACTAGTCTCATGTGAACACATAAAAGTCATAGATATGAAGTCACAAAATTAGCACATTGTGATCATTTCAAAATTGTGTTTTTTAATGTTTATTCTAGTGCTATTCCTTACTCCAAAGACTTCCATTGTATGTTGATTTTTGGTTTTACATTAATTAATTTTGCAGACAATTTTTAGCATATTAGAATGATTTCTGAAGATCATGTGACATTGAAGACTGGAGTAATGATGCTGAAAATACAGCTTTGATTACAGGAATAACTTAAATTTTAACAGATGTTCACATAGAAAACAGCTGTTTTAATTTGCAATAATATTTCACAATTTTTACTGTATTTTTGATCAGCCCGGGTGAGCAGAAGAAACTGTGTGGCATTTCTTTTGAGTTTTCTAAACGGCTACATTCTGTATTACACAGCAGACTGCTTTTTTTCTTCAAACGTTGGATAATTTCATGAATTATGCAGTGTGTTTGGACTAACCCGCGCATCTGCGCTCAGAGGGCAGCCGTTTTAATCTCCCCAAACACGAGTGCCGCAGAGACTCTTGTTATTATATTTATATTATATTTATATGCTGTTGAGATGTCATAACATCCCTGATTCACTGCCTGCAATTACACTAATTTGCTTGTATGTTATTCTGTTAATATTTTGAAATATCTTTTGTTTTTATGTTTCAGGCTTCATTTTTTGTAGACATTACACCATAAATTTGTTTTATTTTAGTTTTAGTTTCAATTAGTATTTTAAGTTTTAAATGTATTTTAAAAGTTTTAGTTAACAATAACAACACTGATATGTTTAATATAACTATGCATCTTAAAAAACAATATTTACCTGCAGATATTTCCACTAAAACAGTTTAATGCATGAAAAACTTTGATCATGGTGGATCAGAGAATCTTGCTGAGCAAATTATAGTTGCTTAACAATATAAACATTTATATCTAGCTATCTAAATAACATCTGTTTTGATGTCACAGACATCTAAAGGAAACTCTTCTCCTCTTTCTTTCATTTTGTCTTTCCTTGGCTTTGGGATTTTCACATTGCTCTGATCTGATTCCTGTAGATTTTCCTTTGTTTAATACTTCTCTCAAACGGTCCTGACAGGTCAAATAGATCCCTCATAAACTCTTCCTCATCACTTCAGTGTTTGATGAAACCCGGCTCTGTATTTTTAGCTTCAGCATGATTGTGTTTTGTGTCTGCAGGTTTTATTTAGTGAGCGCAGGAGTTCCCTTCATCATCTGCGGCATCACAGCAGCCATCAACATCGAGAACTACGGCAGCGGAGAGCAGACGCCGTTGTGAGTAGCAACTAAATCAGTCGAATGTTTTCTTATACGAGTTTGACTCTTTCATATATGTGACCCTGGGCCACAAAACCAGTCTTAAGTGTCAATTTTTCAAAATTTAGATTTATACATCACCTGAAAGCTAAATAAATAAGATTTCCATTGATGTATGGTTTGTTAGGATCGGACAATATTTGGCCGAGATACAACTATTTGAAAATCTGGAATCTGAGGGTGCAAAAAAATCTAAATATTGAGAAAATCATCTTTAAAGTTGTTCAAATGAAGTTCTTAGCGATGCATATTACTAGGATTTTTATTTTTATTTCAATTATGGAAAACATTTTTTAAGTTTTAGTTTAAAATAACACTGGTGAAGTCGCTTCCATTTTGCATTTTAGTTAATTTTATTAATTTGTATCATTGCAGATTGCATATTTATCAGTGTTGCCAAGTTTATCATTTATGAAATAAATTCAATTTGTATTTTTAGTTTTCATTTGGTTTGTGTTAGTAATTTTGTTATGTGCTTTTTTTTATTTCTATATAGATTTTAGTTTTTTTTTCAGATTTAGTAATTTTTTACTTCAACTA